CCTCTATCCCAGTTTAAAGTCTTATTTTAGAATTGTTTGTCCTCTTATCACACATAGATTCTACTAATCAATCATCTTCCTCTCTGGATCTAATAAGTGACATCGTACTAAAGCTAAATGCATGAAATTTATTTTTTGCATTTATTTCGAATGGACCCAGGATCCATTTATAGTCTATTTAACAGTTATTAAACACACAGTTCCCCACTCTTCTTAAGTCGTTTCCTCTGCGATACAGGACAGCACTTGCTTACAAACGTCATATAAGCTGTGTTTTTGGCGATATAGACTGCATTAACAAAGGCCCATAAGTAACCAGCCAAATAGAATTTATTATCTTTGAACTCTTATAGAAACAATGCTTCCAAACCCCCCAACAGGGTTCGCCAATGCTTCACAGGGTAACGAAGCCTTACCATTTTAAGGGTCGTAAGGGAAAAAATTAACCACTGTAGGCTTGTATCTCTCCAGCATTTACGTCCCTTCTGTGAAAGAAACTAAGTGAAAATGTTATTCGTATTGAAATAAAATCCATGGATACACTTGCAAACAGAACTGGCTAATAGCTAATTTCTGCATAGTATAAAGCTCAATATACTAAAATTCACTGCCACTAAGGTCGCTTTTACCTCACCCAGATTATCATAAAGCAAACGTCCAAACTGAAAAACCAAAAACCATCCATGTCGTGAAATTAAACCCTTAATTCGGCTTAGAGTTTAAGGAGAAAAACTAGCTGCAAACGGTCCATGCCTTAATGTGTAGATAAGCTTGTCGGACAAATGTGTCTTGTCAAAATTATGCTCCAGTTTTCGTCACGACATTCTCAGATTGTTATTCTAAGTCTTCTCGACAACATATGGGAAAGTTATTCATATATGTTTCTTTGTCTACTTTGGATCCGATGAGCTCTTCCATAAAGGGTTTGCTGTCAATGTATGGAAACATCCTCTCGGTGAGTGTGAAGGTGTGTGAAGGTGTGTGTGTCAGTATCAGGATCAGAGAACAACAACTTCTCCTCTTTACAGTCCAGATATTCACTCTGATCCTCTTTCAGTGAGTGGAGCTGATGGTGACTTGTGCCTGGTGTCCAACTCTTCTATTCCACATAATCCAGACTGTATGCGTCCCTTCCTCTGGACAGGACTCTGCTGAACACAGCCAGTAACCAGAATGTACTGTCTCCAACCTCGACATCCCAGCTGTGAGTCCCTGAGTTAAAGCCCTCAGGAGCCTAGAAACAGCAGTAGTAAGAATCAAACCTCTCTGGATTATCAGGAAGCTGCTGTTCCTCTCTCCTCTCACAGAGGTCAGATCTTCAGACAGGACGAGTCTTGGATAAACAGTGTTTGGATTCCAGAATCAGAGGAATGATAGGAGACCATCTCTTTCATCTGGTTCCAGATGGGAAGCTGAGGTTGCCCAGGTGTTTGGCCTCGTCTATCAGAGCTCCTGAGGGCAGCTGTGGATCCTCCAGCAGGGGGGCGCTGCTGACTCTTTCACTGGAGCCTTGTAGTTGTTCAGGAATGAGAGTCTTCAGCTCTCAGCTCCTCCTCTGTGGCTTCTGACTGTGTCTGAAAGAGCTGCTATCTCTCTGCTCAGAGCCTCATCTTCTCCTTCATCATCTGACTTCAGCTACATATATATATATATATATATATATATATATATTTATTTTTTAAGAAAAGAGAACGTTAGAAACTAAAGGCAACAACAGGCAAGTTAAAGGAAGACTTAGCCACGTGAAGCCACACTCCGAACTCACGGATACGTTTGCCAGAGATGGGTTCGTACTGTTTATAGGCTGGAACATTTTTTAACAAACCCGTGGACAGTTTGAAAGGTTAGAAGATCTTTTTCATGCCATTCATGGTCTTGGATGTAGCTTACCAAGGCAACTGTAGTCAAGAATAAACTTTAACAGAAGGCAGAAGTATGTTAATGTGACGGGATTCACTTTTATTTGTCAGGTTCCTTGATGTCTTAAAGGAAAGGTTCACATTTCTATCAGGTGCCTTCATGAATATTAAAACACTGTTCTTCCTGCTGTAATCATTCCTTCCAGTTAGTGATAGGCCAACTAATTGGGTGGCTGATTAATCGGCATCGGCCAATGATTGCGCTCATTAGGCTGACAAACAAAAATGTATCAGGCACATCTGCAGGCAGCTTGTCAGGGTTTAGAGTCCTGCACTGTAACTCTCATACATCCTGCTGTAAACATATGCCTAAATTTCCTGCAGAACAGAAAAGTATTATACATTAACATTTTCTTTGTGTTGAGTTCTGCATCATATATCAGCCATCGGCAGCCCTGCTCTTTAAATATCAGCATCGGCCATTGAAAAACCCATATAGGTCGATGAGTACGTCCAATGAAAGTGATGAAAGTGATGGATCTACAGTCCTCCTTCCAAAGTTTATCTGGAATAGCAGACTGCATTGGGATTGGGATCCCATGAGATCCAAGGCAAATCTCGAGGGAGCAGGCGGTTTTCACTTTGCTGGGCGGTCAAAAAATAAATTGTGGGTCCTGGGATTTATCTTAAAAGGATGGAGTCAACGAATGAAGAAGAGGAAGATTAAAGCTGGGTTTTAAGGGACAGCAGCAAAACAAGGAAAGTCTGACATTCAGAGACATTTCTCAGTTGTAACTGACAGTAAAATAACGTCTTTCCACCTGTGGACAGGAGAAGACCCAAATCTCTATTGTGCAGGAGTGAATGGTCAGAATGCTTGCAGGAGCGGGCGGTAATTGTCAGAAATCCACTGGGCGGGATAAAGAAATCAGTCCCACACAGGGCTCTAATCTGAAGCTATTGTGATGCTTTAGCATTCTGAGTTAATTCATTCAATTAAATTAAATTTTGTTTGCATAGCACCAAATCACAAGAGAAGTTATCTGTTCCAACAATTCCCACCACGAGCCAGAACTTGGCATCAGTGGCAAGTAAAACTAGATAGCAGCTTCATCATATTCTGTACAGACCCAGAAACCAACCGGTTCTCTTATACCGATCTCCAGGTTTTCTGTGATTTAACTTTATTTATGGAAATTCATCATGTGTAGAAGCTCATCGGGAAAAGATCTCTTAATGTCCAGCATGAATAGGAGGAATGATTACAGCATGTGAGTATTGTTTTAACACAGACTTGAAGTATTGTGAACCTATCCTTTAAAAATGTCAAAAGTTTGTTGGAAAAGTGAAGAAATTTGGTACAAATTAAAGCGCAAATAAGACAAGTTTTCCACAAATAGTGTGACAACCAGTTAACTATATAGAAGTTACACGTAGATTCATAAGCAGTTATTGATTTCCAGAGGAATTGCCATCCAATTCTTTAGAATGAACCTTTCAGTCCATTTTTTTAGGAAATTATTAGGAATCAATGAGAAATAAAACTTTTTATGTCCACAGCAACTCACAAATCCACAAATGGTTTTTTTTCTGAATTTAGCGTAATGCAGACGTACCATCCGCAGCAAGTGTCAGAACGTGTTTGGGAGTGGCGATCATCAGATAACTAAGTCTACCTTTAAAGGCAACTCACTGTTGTCCAAAGCCACCAGAACATCACCAGACCTGGGACAAAATGACTGTCAAGAGATCAGCTTCTCCGCTCCTTTAACAAGGCTGAACTCTTTTGGGTGTTGAACTTTTTTCTTACAGAGTAATTTGTTTTTTTCTGTATTCATCTGCCACAGCGGCAACCGCAATCCTTCCTTCCTCTTTTGAACTGAGAGTAATGTTAACGTGATGGATGCACAGTACTTGGTGTGAAATGGGCAAAGAGGACGGAATGTGACTGACGAGGATTGTGTTGTGGCAGAAAAATCCACCAACACCGGTGTACGGAGTACGTTTCGGTGCCAGTTTATCCCAGGTCTGCATACAATTACCATAAAAGAGGCATATTTTCAGAGGACCCTTTGCCCTTTGTGACGAGTACAGAACCTAGCTGTATAAATAAGCTTAAAACAGAAGAACGGTGGACGGACGGTGTCCACCATGTAAGTTAAAAATCTCATGTACATATATTTTCTCTTTATGTGTGTTCCATAATTAATATGAATAAGACGATAAACCACGATAGTATGTTTTCTTCATTACCCTTATTCCATTTCCACAAACAGACATCTGCTGAAATACACTTTACTTTTGTAAACTGCTATTCTTCTGTAAATCTCAGTAAATATATACAGTTTCAGACTTTACTCTAATGAGGGCTTGGAGGTAAAACATGATGGAAAAGACGGTTTTACCTCCTCATTAACCCCCTCTAGTTAAAATTCAACAAATTGCCCTCTCCCATTAAGTACTGCACTCTCAACAAGCCAACCTCCACAATATAACCTTTTCTATATAACCACTGTAACCTGATGAGGATGATGTGAGAACAGGAGTCATTCGTTGTCAAAGCAGGCCGGAGCCTAAACGGTTAACTTTAACGCCCCAAAAAGCGCTTTAAAATTCAGCACGAGGAACCGCATCCTCTCTCCCGCAACATCTTCTGCTGAAGTGCCGTGAAGCAAGGCACTTAATCCCCGATTGCATCAGTGCAGCGACTCGGTGGCTTGCAACATGTAAGGAGATGAGCGGTTTAATCTGCCTGCAGTAAGTACCTGATCGCTGAAGTCAGTAATAATCCTGTATGCAACTCTGTCATTTACATTATGAATGAGCACCAAGAACTACAACGACGGCGAGAGAGAGTGAAATGAATTCAGAGATATTATTATTATTATTATTACACGTGGGAGTAGTGAAGTGGAAACCTCTTGTTAGCTCGATGAAATGTTTCCCCCCTCGGGGGAAAAAACACACAGAGAGAAAGCTACAGCGCTCCCTTTCCCCGTCATCTCTCATGTTAAATCACAGAGTTACAAACCTGCTGCACAACCAGCCTGGAACGCTACTATTTACAAAGCGCACCAGCGTCAAGTAGACACCAACACGGCCGATACCCACACTATATAACCATTTAGAAGTTCATTTAACTCAAGTGATTGTTTGATTATGTCAAACTTTTAAGTAAAACTAACTACATTTTGTAAGTTAAAAAACCCATTCTTGATCAAGTAGCATTACTAATTTTAAGTGAGAATAACTTAATTTTCATTTTTATTTGTACTGTGAAAACAAAATACCTAGTAAAAAGTTATTAATCAGGAATGTTTCTGTTTTTATAAGTTAATGCCACCTAAAACTACTAGTAAAAGCAACTCAATCAATAATCAATCAAGTTGGTGTTACTTAAAACATTTTTTGTAATTCATTTCAACAATTTTTTGAGTCAAATGAACTTATCTGGTTTTATAGTGCACCTCAACAAGTACAAACATCACATGATATCTTCCCCCAACCTCCTCATTGCCTGTCTGGTGTACAAAAGCAGAAAACCTGAAGTGTTTTTTCGTTAATAAAATAAATAAATGAACTGATAAAATAGTCGTATAACTTGACCTGTAGAGTGAAAATTAAGGAAGACAATCAACAACTTAAAAACACAGTGGCATCAAGATAAACAGTCCAAAATGGAGCCTTTCTAAGCGACTAATGGCTACAGAACTCATTGCCATTATTGTTTTGCTGTAAGTAAACATAATTTCCGTTTTCCTTTTCAATTTACACAATCTTCTCCATTGCTCCAGCGTTTTTGTAACTGAACAGCTCTTTTTGAGTTGATCACCATTGAAAGGTTTCATTCCAAAATGATGGACATCCTTTGAGACAGAATAAATAAAAAAAAACGGACATCATGCAACTTTGATTGTACTGTTTTCCCATTATGTGACAAGAGCTTTTAGGGACCAGTGTGTTGGATTCAGTGACATCCAGCCTTCAAGTGGCCGACTGCAACCAGCTTCAGGATGTAAGAGACACTACGGTGGCCAGAGCTAGAGCCAGTGTTTGGTTTGTATTCACTTTAGGCTCATCAATCACCATCGACATTTCATATAAACATGTTTAACTGGCAAAATAATCAGCCGATTAATCCATAATGAAAATGCATGTGAGCCTTAATTCCATCCAAATGTCGTCTTTTGTAATGTAACCTTTAAATTTTATTCACTTAAAATTCTGATCAAATGCATATTCTGAATCAAGCAGATCTTTCCAGACCATCACAGTCAAGCTGAGAAAACAGAAGAGAAAGACAAGTTTGGTCCGCTAGGCAATTTTCTTTGGATAGACATTCATGTTTCCACAAACTCGCACAACCCTCGCAGCAGACACAGTCCGTATGATGTATACAGGCTTTAAGGTAAAAGGAGAAGAATGTCTTGTTCTGTGTTTATTGTACACCCTCGAGGAACAAATATACGTTTCCCACCGATTCTAAATAAGCGCTGCAGGATATTGAACGACATCGATTTGAGCTGAATGCTGCGTGTGCTGAATTGCTCTCGACAGCAGAAAGTAATTGCAAGGATATGCGGTGAGAACACATTCAATTACTGCAGGACAGCGAGCTTGGTGAATAAGGTACAAAGCTGAGCGAATGAGAACAAGGGGAGAGGGAGACGGAGCGAGAGTCTCAAGTAGCCTTGGAAATGACACGCTGCCCCCTACTGTGTTATTAATGTGCATTTGTGTGTGGACGTACAGAATATATGGATTGTATACTTAAATCTCCTGTGAGTTTTATCTCTTCTCGACCCAACATTTAAATCTGAGTCACAGTTAGGATGTCCCAGTTCGCTCTACAACAGTGATTTCCAGCTTGGGGTGGGAGGGTCATGGACAGGGGACTCCAAACTCCCTCTGGGGAGCTGACCGGCCTCTGAGTCAACCATTATGAGTCATAGAGATAATGACATTTAAATGAGCAGCTTGTGTATTTGAATAAAGCTTGCTTTGTTGGAACTGCAGTGCTGCTGGAGTGTTACATAAAGATGACTCAAATCTACCTTTTTGTTAGGGAGGCAAGATCGGACAATAATGGGCAATTTATATAGTTATAAATGATCTGAATAATTAAATAACAGCCAATAAATTATCAGTTGATATCAAAATAAGTTCTTTGGAATTTGATTGAAAGGCTTTTATTTTAAATGATCAAACCTTAATTTGTCTTTCTGAGATTGGAAAAGTGACCATAACTGACTCCCGGGTGATTAGAGTCAAAATTAGATGGTCTTATTGCATGTACTTCACTTTTGAAGGTTTACTTTAAATCCTTAAACTGATGTAAACAAAATCAAATGTTGTGTCTTGTCTCACAGAAATGCATGAAACATATAATTTTTAGCTCGCTTTCCATAATTATGCAGATGACACACAGATTTATATAGCGATATCACAAGGTGGCTATGGTCCTGTACAAGCACTGATTGGGTGCAATGAACAAATCAATGATTGCATGAGCAACAATTTTCTTCAGTTATACAGATAAAACAGAAATAATTGTCAGTGCTAAACTTGAGTCGATAACATTAAAGCCAAAATTCTTTGTGTAATCCTTTACTCAGCCCTAAATTTCATTGAGACAATTACAAAATCAGCCAACTAGCTTCTTAAGAACATATCAATAATTAGAGGAGTAATATCTGTCTTAGAAAATCTTTTCTTTTTATCTTCACCCGGCTCGACTACATTAACGCTGTCTTTAGCTGCTAGAGTCCTCACTAAGACCAGGAGAGGCCACATCAGTCCAGTTCTCAGATTTTTATTCTGGCTTTATGTGTGTGTCTAATAAGAAACTACTGCAAGATGCTTCTGTTTGTTAATAAAGCACTGAGTGGTATAGGGCCAAAGTAGATTTCTGATCTTTTAAGCTCTATTAAAAACCAACTTCTAAGATGGTCTGGGATGAGGTCTTCTTACTGACCCAAGAGTCTAAACTAAACACCACATATGTGTATCAAACTCAGTTCTTTTAAATTAGGGAGTTTTCTGTTTAAATATAATGTAAATTTAGGAATATTTATTCATATCTTGTTATTCTCATTCTCCTTTTTAATTCTAGTTTAGCTCTTTTATTTTATTTTACTCTATTTAAATGTCTTTTTTATATTATATTGTGTTTATTTTCTTAATAAATGTCCTATGTAAAGCACTCTGAATTGCCAAATAAATTTGCCTTGCTTTAAAATGTGTCGACAAGTCCTTCTGAGGATTAAAAGTCGACTATGCGGAGCCAAAGAGCCCTGACTGAATCTACTGAAGTTGGACAGGCAACCTGGGGTGTTAAAAGATGCTGAACCTAAGAAGACGTAAAGGAAGACGAGGTAAGCAGTGAGGGAGAGCAGTGCAGACGGACAGAGGAGAAGGTAAAAGGGGGAAACGGAGAGAGCGAGCCGATTGAGACGACATGAAGAATTACAAGAGAACAGTAAGAAAAGACAGGGAGGACAGTAGGATTAAAGCGAGGGACGTGGAGGGCAGTTGGCCCTATTAGAGCTTTGTGAACAGAAGTACTTCATTAAGCTCGGTCGATGTCACCGTGCCGCAGTCAGCATACTAATACAGACTCACATATATCCTCTGTGTAACCCCCCCCCCTATTGAAACCCTGCTTTATTCTGCATCCCTGTCACTTTATGTTCTCTTTCCATTTCCTCCCTTTTTGCATTTCTCCAATTCTTTCACATCTTGAGGAGCCTTCCTCCTCAGTAGAGCGTGAAAGAGAAAAACACAAAGATGAGGATAACGCCATGACAGACTCAAGGAACCAACTACACTAACTAGCTCAGCTCTGGGCTCATATTTATCAAACTTCTAATAATTACATATAGGAATGCTTGTAAGACTGAAAACATTTAAGAACATGCATGTTTAGAGCAGTAAGAGCCAACCAGACACAAAGATTTATCTGTCCTATTGTTCCTCATAGTTAACTGCAAAAAACACCATCCTTTTTGTTGTTGTTGTTTGTCCACTGTCAAAAAAGAAAGTGGTGTAACATCCAATCAAATGTTCAAATAAATGTAAAGTAAAGACTTTTTTCTGAATTCTGCTGCTTCAGTAAACTTATTATTCATCATAACCACATGATAGTTTGTACAATCAACTCCAAGATCTCGTAAATAACTCCTCAGGAGATCCTTTAAATTTGAATCAGTAAGAAATTGGATTAACAAATTTTAATCTCACATTACTTTTATGTTTTACTTATGTCCAAAGTCTCACTTTAGCAGTTTGATAAATACGGGCTTAATCCATTCTATCTTTATGTGCTGATGACTGGTTATTCTACGTCTGCCAAAAAACAGTCCCAGCTGTGTAGGTAACAGCATTTTTCTGTTTTTGTTTGAATAACTGAGGGGAGTTTTAAGCTGACAAAGGTCTGAGTTAATGGTGATGAGGACGTCTTTTGTGTATGGTGAAAAAAAGAAAGAAAAAGGTCCTCTTTGACAGTTTTATATCTCAATAACAATTATAATAACAAAAAAAAAAAAAAAATTCCACGATCCGCACAGAGATCCTTGGTTTTCTTTTTGTTATGGCCTTTCTACCTAAATGTTATCTTCAAGTTTGATATTTTGAAAACTTTTTTTTTTAAATAAAATTTCATCTGACTTAATAGTTGAAGTACAAGCTTTGTTAGAACAAACTTGGAGGTGGTGTCTGGCTTTAAGGAGCATATTCTTTTTGCCCCAAATCCTCTTTTTCTTTTTCTTTTCACTGAGAAGGAGAGTTGTGTCGTAGGTCCCACAAGAAAGAGTCAAAGTCCAGTATCGCTCACAAGACCCCATTTCACTTAGCTTTCGGGCAAATCAGGTGAAAAATCTGCTGTTTATCGCTCCCTTAGCGAATCCTTCTTTTGCGAACTGTTTTAAGCGTCCTTGCCCGATGAGGAACGAGAAAAGAAAGAATCAGTATCCTTGCTGTTTTAGTGCTTGTGTCACAGGACAGGCACAAATCTCCCTCCCGCTCACACACACACACTTTGAGCCAATGTCTAAATATACTCCTGTAGAGCATTTTCAGTGTGTGCCATTTTATCACTAGCTAGCACAATTTGCGTCTTTCAGCACTGATTTTCCATTGTTTTTTGCTAGCGTTTCTTGACTGTTAGCCAAGATAAGCTAGCTAACAATATGAAGACAGCTTGACCCTCTTTAATCGGTGAACTTTGACCTCTTCAAAGGAAAGTTGCCTGTCATACCCATTCCTGCACGGGGTATTTGTAGTAGTGCTGCGTCATGGTGTTCTGTTGCACTCCTTTGTTTTTAAACTGAAAAATGGTATACACCAGCACCAGGATGCACAGCGACAGAATGCATGGGATCACCACGGCGATGGCGTTGACTGTCGTCGGGACGTCGTTGATGGTCACCATGATGTCCACGTCGTCGAGGGGCAGCTGGCGGTCACCGCGGTTACCCTTGCTGCCGGAGCGCTCCATGTCGGACTGGTCGCAGCCCATCCAGTCGCGCAAAATGGACTTTGGGTATCCGGGTTCCACCGTCAGCTTCTGGTTGTCGAACTTCCAGTACTCCTTCCCCTTGTAGAAGTACGTGTAGTCTGAGGAGGGGAGAATGGTGGGGGGAGGAGAGAGAGTGACAGGGGTCGGAGGCAAAGGAAGGAAAAAAAAAAAGGAAATTAGTAGGACAATCAAGCTGAAACAAGACTCCACTAGGGGTCGTCAAATTTCATGGGGGGGTTGCGAGGCCTTCTTGA